GTACATATCAATAATCAATAATTGTTAAAAATGATATAATGACGCCATGGTATCTGGCAAGGATACCAGATTATTAGATCTATATTTTCTAAAAGTAAAAATTTGTCACGATAATTTTAAAGACTTAAAGAAATGCAAAACTGTGAGACAAACTATTGTAGCCGCTATAATACTGTAACCGTGAATTAAGAGACATGTTCTATACGGTAGGTATTAAGTGTTAGTGTGACTATGTGTTTTATACTGTAGGTACAAGTACTAACTGTGGATGTGGAGATGGGCTCTATACTGTAGGTACGACTACTTACAAAGAGTGTGGAGATGGGTTCTATACTGTAGGTACTAACCGTGAATGTTGAGACGGTTTTCTACTATAGGTACTAACCGTGGATGTGGAGATGGGTTCTATAATGTAGGTACTAACCCTGGATGTGGAGACGGGTTCTATACTGTAGGTCCCAACTGTGGATGTAAAGCTGGGTTCTACACTATACATGTAGGTACGAGTACTAACTGTGGATGTGGAGGAGGGTTCTATACTGTAGATAAAAATACGAGTACTAACCGTGGATGTGAATATGTGTTCTTTGCTGTAGGTAAGAGTTCTGACTGTAGATGGGGAGATGGGATCAATACTTTAGGCTGTGGATGTAGGTACTAACCGTAGATGTGGAGTTTGGTTCTATGCTGTATATACTAACCGTGAATGTGTTCTATATTATAGGTACCAACCGTAAACGTGTAGATTGGTTCAAAATGTAGGTACTAACCATGGATGTGGAGATGAATTCTATACTGTAGGTACTAACCGTGGATGTGGAGATGGGTTCTATAATGTAGGCACTAACCGTGGATGTGGAGATGGGTTCTATACTGTATGCACTAACCGTGGATGTGGAGATTGGTTCTATACTGTATGCACTAACCGTGGATGTGGAGATGGGTTCTATACTGTAGGTACTAACCGTGGATGTGGAGATGAGTTCTATACTGTAGGTACAAACATTGGATGTAAGGAGGGGTTCTATACTGTAGGTACTAACCGTGGATGTGGAGAAGTGTAATTTACTGTAGGTACTTACCGTGGATGTGGAGACAGGTTCTTTTGTTGTCGTTCTCCATGAATCGCAGCACTCGGATTTGTCGGAGGTTCTCGATGTCATGTAGGTAGTGTTCATATTAGGTATCAACTGAATATTTGAAAAAAAATGCAGTATTACTATTTTGTTATCTAGCTAATTCACACTAATGTTTATCATCCTCTCAAAAAATTTTAGTAGAATACATCTCCAATGTACAATTTGTTAAATTTATTTACGGACTTTATGTGGTATAGTTAACACGGCATTTGCTGTTGACTATCTTGCAGTCAGTATTGCAATAAATAACACGTACACTAACGGACCAAAAACTGCCTGTCAGACCCGTTTCCATGGCAACACAAAAATCAGGCGCTTATCTAATTAATATGAAATTGTTGCCAGATATTTCAAGAAAAAGTCACCAAATTTGATTTTAGCGGTTCTAGCAGAAGCCGTTTTGGCGCTATCTGAGATGAAAGTGGGCGCGAGCCTCACCCCCTACCCCCCGTCTGAATAGGGTTAAACTAAATTAACGGCTACTTGTATGAGTTTTGAGTCGAAATGTTAGCCTTCCTCATATGATAGATTCTACAATGATCCACCCATCTTTGGGTCCTTTTTTTCTAGCCTAGTGTCCAGTCTTCCGAGATTTGGGTGGGCTCTCTTGGGGCATGGGGTAGTTCCCTGCCGGCCAGCTCAACAAGGCTACTAGTAGTAGTCTTGCTACCCTACCGGGGAGCACAGTTAAGCTGGGCGGCGGGGATTCCTCTTCAGGTGGGAAGGGACGAGGGGGCCCACCCAAAACGTAGACTCGACACCGGGTTTCAAACTTTAAATTTCTTATTTATGACTTATTTATGATTTGGAATTATCTGAATGGTGCCGCAAATGTATAGCAACCACTACATTTTGCAGTACTATATGTAACTGTTGGGTGGATAGAAATATATCAAACTTACCATACCAACCTCGGGTATGCTAGCCTTAAAGAGCACCCTTTTCCCGATAATAGACAATGAAACCAGGACTGAAGCGGTAATGACAGCCAGTCTCAGCCGATAATGCAGCACAGCACCTTTAAAAATATACACAAAAGTAAAACACAATGTTAGAATAAGTCTATTCAACACGATCAATATATCAAATACAGTTTACTATGATATATGCTTTAAAATGAAAATATCATTTTAACACAAACTGACCTTTATCTATGACTTGCAAATACAAACATGCACATCATTTGTCAATACTAGTTAGGTGTAATGTAGAGAATAAACAATGGAAGGCTTTATATAAACGACTTACCAACTGCTTTACGTCGGCGAACGTTGGGCGGATTTAACGCGTTCCGTGCGTCCACCGGATTCAGGACATGTGCTTCTCGCATGGTCGTCGGATTTGGGTGATCTCAGTTCGAGGATTTTGAACACCGCGTATATTGATATCGTCTTCGTGGCCTCACATTAAGATTGCTATTGATATGTCGGATATAGAATAAATGTTACCTTGGGAAAGTGCGGAGGTGGTTCTCAGAAATGTGTAGGTGTGGAAAAATTATGAATAAACATTTTACGGTCTTATTGTCACACTGTTTTATTCCCAGTGGAAACGAATTGACACATAATGATTTTTCATTCATATATTATTAATTTTGATTTAGTGACTTGAGACTGCATGAAATTAAGGTAACGGCAAATGACATAATGTCATGAAACACATGTAGCTATAGCTCTATGGAAATGTCGCTAGCACCCACCTCCCCCCACACGAATTGTTTACTTTGGTGTTACCCAGCTCCCCTGAAAACAAATTATAGTCTAGACTTGAAATTACGGTCCCTAAAGTTTTAGATTTGCCTGAGGCCGTTACATAATGTAAAACTGGCCTTGACATGTCTGTTCAATCTACCAGTTTCCCATCCCCAGAATGCAATGCGAAAATACGGTGGTAACCCTCATTTGCATAGGACAGGAAGGCATCGGAATGATACTGTTGACGTTAAACAGCTTGCTTTTCACTGTGTTTTAAGGACGTCAGGGCATTTCATGCTCATTATTAATTACTATCGGTTGAATCTGAAAACAGAGAGAATGAATTTTTTTTAATATGTGGTTTGTAACGTTATAGTTGTAACGCTATACTGATGATGTAACGGTACGTTACAAACCACATGTTCCATGTTGAAAAGAACACTTAAAATTCATTCTCTATTTGTTGTCAGATTCGGCCCATAGTAATTTAATTAATGTTGAGCATAAAATGCCCCAACACCTCAAAACACACTGACAAAGAAGCTGTTTAACGTCAACAGGGTCATTCCGATGCCTTCCAGTCCTATGCAAATCTAGGTTTCCCCCGCGGTTTCGCGTTGCATTCTGGGGATGGGAAACTGGTGGATGGAGTAAACAATAGAATCCACGCTTTATTTTTGAAGAACCAAATAAGATCATGTCTAGATCTTTTTATATATGTTTACAAACGTTTTTATTACATCAATATTATTTAGCAATATTAATGGTTTTTAATATCATGACTTGCTTGTAACAGCAAAAAATATCTAACTCTAATATTCTTAACTCTACGCTGTTACGGTAACAGCAAAAAAAATATCTAACTCTAATATTCTTAACTCTACACCTAAAATAAAGACGGTGTTTGAAATTTTTTAAAGAATAATATGAGAATAATAAGTGGCAACCATCGCTTTCCACAGAACACCTCAATACCATGTAACATATAGGAATGATGTCTCAGTATAGAGAAAATGTTAAAAATAGAGAGGTTCTAGATACCTGTTCAGTGCAGTGCTATGCCACATGGCACTCATAAACTATTATCCGCAAAGCCAGAGGGAAGGGGCCTTTTAAGATTTAAGGGTTGTGTTTCTTTGTAATTGACTTTGAAATAACATAACACTGTGTTCATGGGCGAACCTCTACATCAGGTACAAAGTAGAGACACGGTACTTAAAAAAAATCTGTTGAGATTCTTATTTGCAACGATGTCGACACCGTGACAGAAACATGAGGTTTTTAGGAGCTTGAACACAGTGTTTTTTAGTCTGCGGAATTTTGTGGTAGAGGTCCTAAAACCCTAACTCATTGATGTTGTCATTTATCACTTTACGAAAATCAATAGCTTGTAAAAAAATAAACCTGGCTCAAACACGCACGTCAAATAACTTTTTTGTACAGAAATGCAAATGTTCCTATAACTACCCAGTCATGTCAAAACAATAACACATCAAATGTATAATCCCTTGCTCGTAGTGACCGTAGCGTCTACTTAAAACACACACACACACACACACACACACACACACACACACACACACACACACACACACACACAAACAGCAGCGTTGTATTGAGATAGGGAAATTGATATTATTTTATTTTATAATTAATCTATACAATCGAATCGGTTCTGCAATAATATATTGGGGTCTTAACCTCTTTACAAATAATTTCCGTGCCTAACATGATAAAATATACACGAAGAGGGACCAAAACCATTTAGGTTTTTCACTTAAAAAAAATTATACCAAACATATGCTCTAGAGCTCTGAAGGCTGTCCTGTTCTCATTTACGTTGACTAAATACTTATAAATGATATAACAATTTTCGGTTCATTTTTTTAAAGTCCATTATCAAACAACGATCTAGTACTAATATAAAATATATCAGGTCCTTAAAGTATATACCAGTAACTGTTTGCCTTAATGTTTAAAATTTCAAGGAGTTGTTACGATACAAAAGGTAAATGTTCTCATCAAGAGCTTCTGACCAGTCAGTCTGGTCTTTCTTAGTAGACTAACCAATAAAGACTTGTCACGTGGCTTCTCTGGACTTTGACGTCAACACAGGGTAAAAGGTACCTGGTAAACTATATGTGTAGATAAACTTTAATGATAGTTTGACTAGATGTCGATGCTCATGGCAACGTTTTCCGGATCCAGGTAAGTGTAGGGGACCTTCCCGTCCTTCTTCAGCTGGTCGTTACGAGCCTTGATGTCCTCGGAGAGGTACACAAGATTCTTGTTGAATTCCTCATGGACCCCAGGATACACATCCTTCATGGCTTCCACCTTGGAAATAAAGTTCATAATTGTATCATCAGTGTTTCTTACTTCATACACTTTAGACAAATCGTCATTTATAGTGAGCTAAGAGATACGCCTGATCTTGAAATGAGTCTGTTCTTTCCTTTAATTATAAGTATTGTATCATAAGACACAAATGTCATGATATAAGAAATCTCACCAAATTTTCCAAGGGTAGTAAATTAACAGTATATTTGCTAATAACCAATGCGTAATAGTTATAATATCAACAAATAGTTCAGATATTATGTTATTTATATGACAGAAATATATTTTCATATAGCCAAAAGACGCCGACCAATCAGAACGTTCTACTTCCCATTGGTTATTAGGCCGCAACCTCAAAAGTAGGTGGCTATTAGAATAACTGAAAAGTATTTGGACCGTACCATTTTTAATGGGGACAGGGAATGAACACTTGCATTACGACTTGTTTTATTTATCTATTAAAACGTATTGTAGTTTATTTTGAATAATTAATTTGAAAATACAACACAACTATATAGATATTAATGAAATAATTTTCTAAACCCCCACTAAAAGTGAAACTGTTATAATGTCACATGGTCACTACATGATTTTTCTTTGGTGGTGGTGGGGTGTGGGGGGCATTGAGAATTTTATAACTGAATCTATGTCAAATATCTGTGTCAGTCGGATAGGTTATATGATGATAACCTGAATACTCCGCCTTATCCTCGATGTATATGGCAAGATAATACTTGGTCTCCTCATAATCCTCCTCGTTCGCGATGCTCACTCGGTGGTTTATTCGATGGTTATCGCACCCGACCAGGAAATTATCTTACCATATACACCTCGAGGCGGGTCGTTAACCCTTTATTATTGTTACAGAGCACGATCTTACCCCTGTGATTGCAGTCTGTGACGGCATGGACAACATGTAGGACAGAAGGACCTGCAGAGTCGTGAACTGTGGAGGTGGCAGGGCCTCGAGTACAGCGGACTGTAACATGTCGTTCGGTCCGTCAGGCATCGGTATCGACAACTGGGCCGGCCTAAGGGAAGGTTCATGAATAAATTGATATTACGGAGATCTACTTATATATCTATAAAAATAGAGCTTTGTTTTTGGTGTGCCTTTAATTGTATGTATGCGTATATCTGTGTGCCCAGTTTATGGTTAACTAAACAGAATAAGGCCTTAATTTATTGTATTTGGTATGTGGGTAGGTCTTAGAAACACTCAGGTCAAAGTTTTATTTTATAAAGTTTTATATATAAACTACAGCAGAACCTTCAACTTTTCAATTTTATTTCAAATAAACAATGCATACATGTGTAATTGCAAAGACATGAAAAAAGAGAAAAGATACACACATAAACCAATGACTTTCTTATCAATTTTTTAGTAGACGATCAACCAAAAGACTAATGCATGATGAAAAACATTTCTTCTAAAACATCATTAAAACAAACTGGATACCTGTTGGGCACGAAGGAGTAGTAGTCATACTGCGGGAAGTTGATGGCGGAGTGCTGTGCGCTCACGTTGAAGATGATGTTGGTCAGACAGTCGATCAGCAGCTGCTTGGTCGGAATCTCGTGAGGGAATCCGTGAAGCTGCCCGGGACCTTCAATCATCTGGCAAAACTTCTGCAGGGCTGTGAACAGCAGACAAAAACACGTTTACCTGTCTATGTCATATGCGTATGAATAGGGAAAACACATGGTAAAATATAGTAGCATCAAAATAAAACTAATTCCTCAGCATCCATTATGCCCTGTTTAAGTGTAGTTTATTGCAATTGCCCATTAATTTCCTTTTTTTTTCATTCCACGGAACTGGCGTAGCATGCTAAAGGGCGATTAACCCGGCCATTGATACAGAATACAGATACAGAAATAATGAGTCTAAATAGCATAAATGTACAGAAATTATAACTACGAACTCATATCTTTCTGAACGTCTATTTGTTTTCCGAAGTTTTCATCACAATTGCCCGCCACGCCATGACATAGACAATCGGACAGACCTCTTAATTTACTCTAATGTAGTGGAATTTCAACTAACACCCAAATGTAACCAATCGAATAATTTTACTACCTCTGAACATTTCTTCTATTATTCTAATGTTCCTATAATTCTCATCATCCGCCCTTACCCCCCCCCCACCAACACACACACACACACGC